AAGTGATAAAGAACAAAAGCCACAGAAGGCACATTTAGGACCTAATTCTATAAGGATACAGAGCATTGCAGTGGTAAAGAGAACATATGCATTCTTAAGGCTCCATGGTGTAAAATCACAGAAACTTGAAACCGGCAGCTTAAGCTCAGGTCGTGCTTCTGTAGCTGATAAAGGAGAGCTTCTATCAGCTCCATGAGAGGATGGGCATTTCATGTAGTTCACCTCACCGAGAAAACAAGTGCCCTTCTTTGCACCATCTAGCCAGAGCTCTAGTTAGGGGATTTGGTAATTACTGTTTGAACAGTGCTGAGTGGGTGCTGGTCCTTGGAGAAGGAAGGGGTTATGTATGTATGTATGGGTTTTACAGCTAAACAGCCTGCTGTGAAGATAGCTGTGCTGACAGCCCCAGGTTGTTGCAGGGGGCAGGGCGTTGTGCCTCTGCTGCTCCTGCTGAAATGGGTGCTGGCATAAACTTGGACGGAAGTCCCTGGGCCATGTCTGAATTGGAAAAGGAAGTTAGAAATGGAATAAACATGTGGAGCTTATTGAAGCACGCTGATCGGAGGTCCTTGCACTAGTAGTTGTTTCAGTGACTGTAACATGGCTGATGGGCTGGGTTCTGCCTTAGTTCTGCTTTCTTTATTCTGCTTGCATAGTGTTCTCATCATCCTTCACTGCTGGGCAGCTGCTTCCCTTCACTGCACCCCACCAGTGTGAAAACCTTCCTGTGCCAAACGTCTTAGGGCAAGGCAGGATGGTGAGAGGGAACACAGCAGCTCTCCTCCTGCTCTGATTTTACTTGACCACTGCCTCATGTGTTTATTTCTGCGAACACGAAGTGAGTCTTTCGTGCTATTCCCTTTCCTGCTTGTTGTCATCTTCTTCAAGCCAGATGGGCTCAGGTGATAACACTGTAGAGACTCAATGTCTCTATTTAGCACGATGCCAAGTCTGCATGCCATCAAAATATCTGAGCAAAATGTACCTGAAGAGACAACACTTGCCATGAGTATTGTGTTAAAAGCAGTGAACACAACGTGTTCACTGAGATTTCATATCAGCAATTCTTTAAGTTAAGCAGCAAGGCCAATAGCACATGTCTGATGTCTGCCATGTTGAAAGTTGTTACGTAGTCCCAGTGCACTCACCTTCCTCCTACCTATGTCAGAACTCATTTATAGTGAGCAGCACTGTGGGGGCCTGGATAGTGTGTGCATGGGATGCCAGAGCTAGAAAGCAGGTCTTGCTCAGCGTTTCAAGATCCTCCCTGAGTTCCCTGTTCTGGACATAATCAGGATCTATCATCCCCACAGCTGATAAGAGAGAGAGTGCAGCTGTATGGAAAGTGCCACAGGATTTCTGTTTGGTGTTTTGAGTTTTTTTATGTTCTGATTTATGCTCTCTGAATAAAAACTGAGAAATAGCATTCCAGCTGTAATCTCAGTTTGATGTACCATCTCTTTAAATTAGAATTTCTAATTGAAGTAGGCAATTGTCAGAATAAGTATTTGCATTGCTCTGTTGTAAGGAGTTGGTGCAGCTCTGGGCTGGTGCTGCTGCAGTGCGTGTGGCTGCTTCCAGAGCTCAGCCCTTCTGCTGCTATTGCCACTGGTGTGGTAAGTAGAGCACAAGTTGAGTGCTTGTCTGGGTGAGCACACACTCATTTGCAGGTACCCGTGGTTGTGTACAGGATTTCCTAATGGTCCAACCCCTTTAAACCAGGATGGTGGGCTGGCAACAGCAAGTACTCCTTAAGCTGGTGTACGAGTTCTAAAAGACAGGCCTGGCACTTCACCTCCTGCTCAGTCTAGGTTCTCTTCTCATCTGCTGTCCTTGTCCTGCAGGCATCTGGCACCTTGCTGGAGGTGCTTGGCTTCAAGGTTCTTCGTTCTTTGGAGATCTGAACTCTTATAAGGGCAGACTGCTGCTTCCATTTGAGTTTTGTGTCCTCTCTCTCTTTCTCTTCCTCTTATGACACTGAACTGCACATCAAATACCTATGCGGTAAGTCAGAATAAGGCAGTATACAGTAATGTTGGTATAACATATAGATGTATTTAATTAATTAGGTGAGCGAAATGTTCAAAACTGAGAAATTATGTTGCCGTGGTCCCCACTGTGTGGTTTAATAACACATTATAGCGTCAATGCTTTTGTGATGGATTGTATTGAAGGAAAATAAACCACTGATAGCTAAAAGTTAAAATTTACCTCTTCAGACATGAGCACAAAATGTATTTTGGGAAAAAGAAATTGTAATAGGTTGAGTAAATGAAGCTGATATCCTTTAAAAATGAATAGAGGAGAAGATGGCTCCACCCAAATAAAGCTGTTATGGTGTTGTTTGGTAAGGGGTGCTGGTAATAAAGCCAGACATGACAACCATTGTGTGCCTAACCAAGGCAGAGGCGGGACCAAAGGATGGGGTATGTGGTGTGGCCAGGGGACGGAGAATTTGGCTACTTGCTCTGTGTCTAATGTGGTGTTGGCAAGTCTTATAACAAGTGTGCTTCAGGTCTTGAAAATATTACACTTCTGTCTCCTGTAGCTAACAGGGCAGCACGTTTTTGTTGTGTTTAATTTCATACTGTGAGATCCTCAAATGAACTGCCAAAAACCGCTGCGATCTTAATTCATGTTAGTTTTCTTCACGTTATAAAATAAACCTCCAGTGCACAGATTAAACGGAGCCAGGTCTACTTGTAAAATTACTCTAGCATGGGGATCTAGGCTGGAATTTCAGACTACTACAAAGAAAAAGCTGTTCTTTCTTCCTTCCTTATTCGTGCCATCATTTTTTTTTTTTTTTTCCCTGTAACACACAGAACGGTTATGCTTAAATATCACATCTTCTGTCTCAGCACTGCTTTAACATGGTCTAGTGTTAATCCAGGTAGTCATGGGCTATGTTTTATGTAGTCATCCACACTTCCACACCACAGACACGCAGGCAGAAAGGGAAGCACATTGATTTAGTGCTCAGTAATCCTTGTTTAATCCCTAGTCCTTTGGTTTGCATCACTATGGTGTCTCCTGCAGTAGTCAGCATTCAATCTTCCTTCTTGGCAGATTGAACTAAAGGAAAGATTTATTAATTTTTAAGAAGTTGGCTTTGTAGGTGCATCTTTAATAAGCTAAAAATCAGGGCAGTTCAGAAACCAATATTGTCTTAACTATAATAATCTGCTCCTTAAAATCCAATCCAGGTTGAGCTGCACAGTCATCTCATGGTTTACTCGCGCAGTGCGTGGTACAGGGCTGACTTTAACAACTGTCCTGTTGCAGGCTCCCAGCCTACTTCCTTTTTCACTCATTATTAGAAATACAGTTAATCTCCTCTTCCCTCTCTCATCTACACCCAAGCCAGCAATGCTTGCTTTATGGCCCATGTACTGATAAGAAAAAGGGTTTGGAACTAATGGATTCATTTGCAGAAAATATTGGGGGGGGGGGGGGGGGGGGGGGGGGGGGGGGGGGGGGGGGGGGGGGGGGGGGGGGGGGGGGGGGTGTCAGAGATCACCATTCATTACAGTGGTGATAAATAGTCTATGTAATTGCTGAACAAATGTTAGTGTTTGGGATTTATTTCTATTAGTTTATGGATGCTTGTTGCTTTCTTCCCTCTTGTAGTGCAAAGACAGTGATTCTCAGGAGGAAGCCTTTTGTAATAATTTAGCTGTCATCACCTCTCCTGAATCCTTCAGGCCAGGTACAGGCTATAGCCATATTCCTTTCTGGACAGTGATATTCCAGAGCTAATTCCAGCAACTTTAAGTTGGCTCTTTACTCAAACCCTCCTGCTAGCAAGTTTGCTGAAATGTTGACAGATAACCATGCTTGTGTTCCAGTTGCAAGGAGCTTTAGCAATATTTCCCCCCTCCCCTCTGAAAATACTGTACTTTCCTAGATGCTGTCAGATAACTGCATTTTATAGTCTATATAAACATAGACTGTCCTTCTTGCTGGAAGTTACTCAGCTTTGGGGGAAGGTCCAGGGCTGTGTCAGTGCTGTGTAGCTGGTAGCTGGAGTTAGGAACAAGGGGGGTGTCTTGGGCATTGAGGTGCCCTGAAACGATGGGGAGGTTTACATCTTAACACCTACTTGTCTTGAAAATGGTTTCCTGTTCCCTCAAGTACTCTGGTGGCAGAACTGCCTTTTTCTTGTCAAAAGGATGATAGGCTAGAGTGGTTTTCTTCTCTACAGGGAGCAGGTTTGGCCATTCTTATTTCCTGCAGCAACCTGTTGAAGTATGTATTACTTGAGGGCATTTTATCCAAATGCTTCTTGAATACCCATGCTGGGCTCCAGCATGGAGCAGTCCAGTGCCTGTTGTGCCAGGCATCCCAAGGCAGCACTCTGGCCTTGATCAAGCATGGTGCAAAATGATGGTAGCAGCTCTTCCTGTTCCTCGGGCAGCAGAAGGTGTGAAGAGGTGGGTGTGCAGTGCTGCAGTCTGTGCATGAGAAGATGCAGAGCTGTCTCGTCACCTTCCAGGACAGTGCCCAGCCACCAGCCTGACAGCAGTTCCAGGGCACTGACCTTCATCTCTCACATAAAGCTTGCTGATAAGAAAAGGTGCTGTGATTGTACAGCACGGGGCAGATGGGGACTTGGCTTTTACCACTTATTAAAAATTTGAGTGACTGATCTATAATCTTAAGTGGAGACTAAAACCCAAGTGGTTACACCTGGCCTATGTCCTTTTAAAAACTGATTGTGAAATTGTTCTCATACAGCTGAACTCCTGTGAGTTCTGTTTACAGAGTACTCGTGGAAAGGAAGAGCTGGCAGTCTCAAGGGAGTTCTTCTAGCAGCTGGTCTGTGCAGAAGGACTCTGTCCTCCTGTCCTGGAGACTCATGTATGGCACAGGCAAATCCTCCTTCGTGTGGGAGGTGGATGATGTGTGGAGATAGAGCCATTGTCATCTACGCAACCCTGCCTGATAGATGTAATGAACACCAGCACCACCCTCTGACTCAGGATCACTCAAAATTAGGATTTGCTTTTTTTATTGCAATGTGATCATCTGTGCAGCTGCCTAACATCAAAGAAACACTCAAAGAAATGAATTATTACAAGTGTTGTCACACTCCAGAAGGTGCAAGACCAAATTTTCTTTAGAAAAGCTGGTAGAACAGGATGCTGTTTCTGTGAGAGCAAGAACATCAGGCTTTTATTTTGAGAATCTTTTGATGTTGCTGTTCACTACAGTTCTGGTGACATTTTCTCTGCTATTAACCTTGTAACCAGGCAGAAAAACACGTACAATAAAATACCAATAGTGCGGAACCTGCATGACATGAAGGCTTCTGTCTGTAAAGCTGTTTTCATAGTCTTTAGTACACATTCCTTTTAAAATTATGTCCTCAACAACCTGGCATCAGCTGGGTGCTTCAGCAGGACAGCTGCAGCTACAGTTGTGTGACTTTAAACACACCAACACAGGACAGTCTGTTCACAGATATCTTCCTGGTGTAGTCAAAGAATGCTAATGCTTCACCATTCAAAAAAACCCTCCTTCGTGAAAGAATTTCAGCTTCTGTGACCATAGAGATGACAAGTTAATGGATCCATCTGCACCGTGTGGGTAAGGATTTATCCATGAAATTCCCCTAAATGTTAATGTGAGTTGCGTAGCTGAATCCCAGACTTGCCATGCTGAAACTTACCCTAACTCTCCAAGGAGAAGGCGCTAATTGGATTGCTGAGTTTAAATCCTTCAGCTAGTCAGTCCATGGAAAGGATTTAGCACTGGCTCTGTAAAAGGCTTTACATAGCTTTGCAGTGCAGTGCAGGGGAAGGTTATTTTCCCCCTTTTCTTCTTGTGATTAATTGTGAGACTTGAGGTGACGGGAGACATAATGAAATTCATAAATGCCAAAGGCCGTCCCAAGTCACATTCCTGGCTGTTGGTTTAAGTTAGAAACTGACAGAAGTGCGAACAAATCAAGGCTGCTCTGATAGCCTTTCACTTACAGGGAAGAAAAAGTAACTGACAATGAAAAACCACTGGAGGTGGTTTAGTGGGTGCAAGTTCTCACAGAAGAGTGGTATTTTACACTGATATAGATTCTTAGATACACAAGTGACTTACAGAGACGTTCTGCTCCCACAGAAGTCAGAGATTCCAGTTCTTTTTCCAGAAATTGGCCAAAGTTATTTTAGCAATATGCCAAAGAAAAAGCTGTTGCAAAACCTGCAGCAGAACTCAAAGTGACTTGTCCTCCGTCTTTGTTCATGACTGGCCTTGCTCCACTTGTTATAAATTTTAGAAGTCAACTCCCCTCCATGGGAGACAGAACTTTTTGCATGAACAGGCAGCATAAAATTTTAATCTAGCAATTTCCAGGGACTCACCTCTGCCTGGAAAAAACATTCTATTACTTCACCAGATCCAGGTTTGAATTACTGTATAAGGAATCGCTTCATCCGTCCTACTTCCCAGTGCAGAACGTATCATGTCTGAGTATATATCGACCAGATACTGATGCGGTGATCCTTTGCACCAGCTGCCAGCAGTCTGTCACTGGGGCTTTTGTGGTCTGAGAAGGACACAGAATGGACAGTTGCGGTGTGGTAGTCAAGCACTGCTAAGGGCTTCAGTTTCTTCCAGCCAAAGATCCTGATGCGATGATCCCACCCTGCTGTTGCTAAAATCTTCTTGTCTGGACGGATGGTGATATCAGATATGCCAGCATTGACAAGTCTGTGCGTTTTCTGAACCTGTGTGAGGAAGTCATGGATGAGCTCTAATTGTTTAAAGCAAGCAGAAGAAAATAGAACCTTCTGGAATTTTAGAAGGTAGACTATTGGCCTGTACACACACTGGCATCACACAGATGCTTTTCATCACATGGCAGATAATGCATTAATGAGAACAATTAACTTAAGTTGACCATAACTATCTCCAGCACCATTCCCTGAATGTTCCTTGCGTGTTTTTAATTTGTATTGCAGTTAAAGCTGTTTATATTTGGTCACAAGTGAAGCTCAGCTCAAGGGTCTGAGACTGAGAATCAGACTGTGCAGCTTTGCCCTTCCAGCTATTCTTGCACAAGTGGCAACGTTCAGAGCTCTGGCCAAATATCCCCATGGCTGAGATACCAAACTGTCATTTAAACTACCCACTACTTACTCCTACTACTGTACCCCCTCACAAAAGCCCCAGAAAGCTGTAGCAGTATTTACCAGATTCTTGAGAAAGGAATGCTTCCAGGAATTACGTTACAGGATCAGGAAATCTGTAGTTCTAGTGCTCTTCCCAAGGGACTTATTTACAGCAAATTCCAAGAAGGGGATTACAAACAAGTTATTGATTTCTACCTTGGAAGCCTTTTGTTTCTGCTTGCAGACTACTGCAGCACAAGTTTCCGAGGGGCACAATTAAACTGGAAGGTATTAAACTTCATTCTTGACTCACTGGGCACAGCTCTTGAAAAGAGAAGCTTGCTTCACTGTCACAAACTTTCCCTGAAACACCAGAAAAAGCCCACGTAATACAATTGTGCTGTTCTCACCTCAGATAACTTACATTAGTCAGCAGTCTGTCCCTGAAACACAGGCAGCATGTGTTGAAATAGCCTAGCTTTGTCACAATGGGGAAGACACCTTTTTAGTGTATGCTGATCTCGACCTGTGGTTATTGTAAGCACAGCTAGAGATTACATTCAGAAATGACACACTCGTGCTGCTGTCTTCTTAAGACTAAATGTGTAACAACCATCTTGAAGCAAAGCTTAATATAATGCAATGCATGTTATCTACTGCTTTCAGGAAAAGAGACTGAAAAGCACATTTTGTCTGAGTAACTTCCCTTCATGATGAACATACCATGATGTTACAGGACTGTAGTACAGGATAACACTACGTATTAATTTCAGGTATGTTAACTGTAACATTGAATTCAGAAAACTGAAACTCCAGCCACACTCATCAGAGTTGCTTTCAGATGCATATTGGCATTTTCCAGGAACAAAGCTGGAAGCAGTTACTTCTCAACGACATAACAACTGTCTGGCTCAAATAGCAAGACATACACATTGACTGAGAAAAAGACCAAATGAAATGTGACACACTTCTTGCCTTCTCCATACAGTCCTCTCTGTAAATGATTTGACAAATGTGTCTTCAAGCGATTCACAACAAGGGACGGCAAGTTTTGCTAAGCCTGTTCAGTAGTAGGAGGCTGTATGTGGGCCTCCTTGCAGCGCTGCTACTGCAAAACTTGTGCTTTTTGCTGCTAGGTACTTCCAAACTCCCCTGCTGCAGTAATAGCTCATAGCTTCATGGGATTTTCGTTGCCATATGTATACTGGAAGGGGAGGAGCTGTTACATCACCAGCTTGGCAGCTGGAAGTAAGATGGGTCTTACTCTGTAACTGAGATTATTAGCTAATGGCTATAGCCAGTCCTGGGTGTGGTGCTTCCCATCATTACTGTCAATTATGTAGGTAAGATCCATACAGCAAAATCAGGACGACTGGGTGAAATTGCATGTCAGCAGCATGCTACAACTTGAAAATGAAGCCTATAATGGAGATGCCTTTTGGCTATGGAACATGAGGGAACAGTGGGCATTTGTGCATGATTTGCAAATACAGGAGGTGAGGGAGGAAAAACAAAGAACAACTTGCTCAAGGTTTTTACAGCCAGGTGAAATCCTGTTGCCAGGATGTGGCCATACCGTCAGTAACAGGCAAATACTGTAGCCAAATACATACCAACATTGTTTCCTAATCAGAAAGCTAACTTAGAATTAAGAAAACAGGTGAGCTACTACCAGCCAGTCATGACCAAGGACACTCGTATCTATTAGCAGATTCATGAAGAAATTTTGTGCTGACACCAATAGATATCCATCTCTCCTTTCCTCAACACTTGCCATCTACAATTTTTCTTCTTAAAATCAGCCTCTCCTACACCCAAATTATGTTTTTAAGCCCCGTTTTTAAAAAAGTAGCAAATACAACAGCAACTTCAGCTTAGCATTTGAGGGAAAAAACCTCAGTAGTCCAACCAAGAGAACTTGCATGCTTACCTTCATTACAGTTTTTAAAGAATTTTCTTTCTTGCCACATAAATATTAGAGTGCTTCTTTGATGACTGGATTTTAGTTCTGCTTTGTTTATTCACCTGTAGAAGCTGTTTACCTCCTACTTTCCATCACAAACCTAACCACTTAATTATACTATCTCAGCCAAATCAGAAGGCTCATAACCAATCCAGTCATTTGCTGACAGAGATGATTTCAGCAATTTTCTTGTACAAGACAATGCACCACTTTCCCCATAGCGATAAATGATGAAGTACCTTCATCATCTATTCACTGACACACTGGAACACTGCCACTTAAAACAGAGCTGAAGTACCATCATTGCATCATTATTTCTCCAACAGCAGATAGCTATGCACCACGTTTACTTATTAAAACGTTTTAGAATAAAAATAATGTGCCACTGAGTGGCTTTCCACCATCTACCATTACCTCAGGTAACTGGAATGCCAAAAAAGAAAAGGCCCCATCTGGTTTTTATTATTAACGTAATAGTAGAGAAAAAAACCCACAAGCTATGTCCTTGACAGAATATAGTGCTCACATGAAAGATGCACTTTATTGGGGAATTCTCACCACGCACGAAGCACCAAAACATTACTTATGGGTTACAACATTTGGCATTTAAATTTCTTCTGAGAAAAATGGCCATGTCAGTGTGATGCACCGAAGGTGCGTCTGACCGTGAGTGCTCTGTGGAAAACAACAACTGGAATATTTCAGGTGAACAACTTGTTATTTTTCCCTGAGTCCTAACCTGCATTACAATTAACTGATAAGTGTAATGTGTTGTGAAGAGCAGGATTTTCTTTGAATGCCATGCTGTAATTAATATGAAGGAATGACTTCCTTTCCAACAGCAAGTATCTGAATCGTAAAGAAACCTGTCGTGGTGTCAGATTTCTAGAAAACTAGTCTCAATACCAAGTCTCCTACTGAGACTTACCAACTCATTTTCCTTCAACTTCCCTGAGCAATGGACTCCAGGTGTGGCTTGTGGGGGCAAATGTGACAAAACCCAACTATGACAACTATGCACCAGACTTGTTAACCTCTTCCTTAATCACATTCACTTGCTACTTCATTGCTTCTTGTTCAGAATCTAGAGTGCCTCTCCTATTTCGTGGCTAACTGCATGTTATAGTTGGCTTTCTCCTCAGCACTTGGGGAGCTCTGTGTCCTGCAAACTTCACCTCAATTGGGTGTATCTGTAAAGCAACTACTGGAATCCTAGTGCCATGCTGATCCCTAAGTGCCAGTTCTGTGGTGATCAGATCGTAGCTCTTGACTGCGTCCCCAAATGATGTCACTGTCAAATGCCCAGGAATTGCTTTTCTTCTTATAACTGTTCAGAAAATGGCATTAACTCATCACGCTACCTAACAAAATCTCTACAACAGCTGTAAGAGCAGTTGTTTTCTTCCATGACTCCATACACCCAATTGTTCTAAAGAGATATACAGGAGCACACAGAGGCAATGTCTGTTCAGGGAACAACTGCCTTACCAACAGCTTAAAAAAATAAAGCACTCAGCAGTAGAGGGGCAATGGATGGGCCATTTTCACTTTCAAGAGCCTTTATTTACACTATTTATTTCCACACCTAGTTAAAACCTCCTTAACCCCTTGGCAATGTTGGAACACTTGCTTAAGTTGTCTAGATTAAGCAATATTTATTGCCATTCACTAGCAGAGACTGAACTGGTGGTGATTACGAGACCAACCCCTAAACCTGCCACTCCAGGTGTGTATAGCTCAGACATAAACCCATATAAACCAATATAGACTTATTCTTTCCCTGTCTCCAGCTAGTGCACTAGAAGTGCAAAGGGAAGCTAGCTGCCTACACCTCACGTCCTCTTAGCCAGGCTATGCCTGTTCTTTCAGTCTGTCAGGTATCTCATGCAATATTCTGTCTTTCTCACAGCAAAAGGAAAACTATCCATTCAAGCAGAACCTCTGGAAAAGCAATCCTTTGTTTCTCATTTTTGTAAGTCATTTATAATGTTTAAGACGTTCTGAGAGCTGGATACTACTAATGTGATAAATGAAGACATGGAGGCAATGGTTTGAGAAATGCTAGGCCTGCACGCCTGTTGCAGCTTTGGTAAAACCAGAAACATGTGAGAGGGTCTTTCTTTTTTTTCTTTCTTTCTTTCTTTTTTTTTTTTTTTTTAAATCCTCACCATCCTTTGTTAAGTCTAGTCACATAGCACAAGCATTCTAACCAGTCTGTGATTAATTAGCTAGAGGTCTGCAACAACTCTTCTCCATGACTAAATAATTTTTTAGTCTATCAAACTGTTAGTGCAAAGTGGGATAAATGACACTGGAGGGCCAACGGCACTGACCTGCAGGTTCTGTTGCTCATTGAGGCTCCAGATGCTAAGCACCTTTTCGGATGAGCCCGAGATCCCTTTGGCCTTCTCTGAGTCAAAGTCAAGGCTCATCACCGGCTCCTGGTGGCAAACAAGTTGGCTCAACACTTTTCCTGTTGACAAATTCCAAAGGAGCACTGATCCATCTTCATAGCCAGCCAGAAGCAATGGCTGTGAACCACAGCTGCCCTGACCAAGAGAAAAATAAAATTGTTTGAAAAGTGAGTAGTCTGTTTGTGAAACTATCACCTCCAACTAGGTTTTAGATCAAGCATCGAGAAAATAAATGAAAATGCTGACAGGTATAATAGTGAAGAGTTTAGAAGTCTAAGTGTCAGTGCTACCAGTAAGGACACATCTTGGTGCTTCCACCACATTTACTAACAGCATTACTAACCAACTGCTGACAAGCACTCAGCTTCTGTATCAACATATAACATTTTATATTTGATGTATGTAGTTGATATCTAACGCACGCATGTATGTATACACACATAGAAGATTACTGAAAGTAATCCAATCTATAGCCCTGTACATCGCCTGCAAAAAGACTGCCTGAAGTTTCTGAAGCTTTAATTCGTGGTCTAAAGTTCATTGCAATTCTTAAAAAAATAAGAAATAAAAAAAATGAATAGAGCAATGGACTTAGCAATAAGCCATGCAAAACCATGTGGCACTGAAAGAAGTGCGAGTGCAGCTGCACACTGCCAAAGCAGGGGTGCTCACATGGACTGCTTACTAACGTGCACTGCAGTGCAGAAAGGTGAACACCAAACCGCTCTTCAGGGATCCCTGGCTGAGTCACCAAGGGGTTAACACGCACCCGAGTCCCACTGTAACCAACTGAAGGCTATTTTGATTAATGATGTCACAGGCCAGAGGGCACGGCACCCTGGGCAGACACCTAATTTATTTAAGCCTCTGAAATAACTCAAAGAGGGGAACATTACTGGATTACATGTCACACTTAAGGAAAATATTCATCATTGCTCCAGCCAAAGACTAATGACCCTGTAAGCACTAACTGGCTGTGAGCGAAGATGCAAATCCCGAATGAAAAGCAACTAAATAACAAGCATCTGTAGCCAGTTATTTGTTTAATAGGAGAGAGACAACCCACCAAAATACACACTGGGATTATGACCACCTCCTGCAGGGACACCCAAGAAATGCATCCAATAGCTTATTCAGTTATTTCCAAACCTGGCCTGATCCTATGGGATTCTATTGTTTAGTATTGGAAACAAACTCAAGTTAAAGGATGTTTATAAAAAAATAGTTTTTACTGGCATCACACGATTGAATGAGGTTCTTGCTGTCAGTGGCATGATACAAGCCTGCACTGACCAAGAGCTCACCACCTCTATTAATGGTCCAGTCTGTTCTCCCACGGGTTATTATTTGTTCTAGGGGGAATTAAACTAACAAGAGATGGGTGGTCTGGGTAATAAGACTTCTGAGTAAAAGCATTTTTCAGATTTGTTCAGCCCAAAGAACCATTTAGATAAGGAATCAATCTTACCATGCAGGGAACAAAACTGCTCCTTAAAACAAGGAAACAAAGCAGATTTGCCCACACTTCAAATCCTGTATGAGTCTCATCCTTTACTTTAAGGCTCCTTTTCTTTGGAAGAGGCAGGGACCTTGCTTTGGCCAGATGTGGGCACAATCTTTTTTTTTTTTTTATTTGTCAAAATAACATCAGAGCAATGAATAACTGTCAAATATATGCAAGTTCACAATGTTAAATCATTAGCTATTTTGGACGGACAGTGCTCTTTTTTTTAAATGTTGGGGGATAAAAACCTGAATTAAAATGAATTTTAATTAAAAAAACAAAGTATTTTATAGGTATATCAAGTTTAAGAAAGCCCCCAGTTTGGACAGAAAAACTGAGAAGAGCTATTACTGTACTGCTCTTCTGTGAGCACACTGCTCTTCTTGAAGCCCAGGGTTTTGTGGATGGTCAGACTTTCCTTATCCAACAAAACAAGGTTGGGATGGGCAGAGTTGGGTCTTCTGCCTCAAAACAGGATGGCCAAGTGTTGCTCATCACCTCATCACCTAGATGCTCTAGCATCACAGCAAATGCCGACCAGAAACATTTCTCTTTCTGCTGCAAGTATCTCAACTTAATTTGAAAAACAGAATTTGCAGTGCGAGATTGGTCTGTTTTAAAAAGCAAGTGTTCTTTTCTGTGAAATCAAGGCCTCCTGTACTTCTCCTTCCTGACATGCTCAAGCGTGTAATATTTTAATGAATACGTATACCTGAACTTAATAACAGCTATTGAAAGATTGGAGAAGCTCTCAGTCTGATGCCTGGACTTATCAGGCAGTGCTTCACAACAGCCCATTTATTTCAGCTGTTAATAATGGACACTTCTGGAGAAACGACTCTGCCAGCCATATTCTGGTGTCAGTGGAAAATTTAAATTACAAATCATCATTCTTCCTAAACAGAGCAGTTTGATGTTGCATTTGGATAACTGTCAAGGAAGGAAGAGAAGGTGATCTGCTGTCAGCTCAACAAGAATAATTGCTATAGTTTATATAAAGTAATAACTCTGCATTTCCAGTTTCTACATGTATTGTTCCCATTGAATTATTTTGTTTGCGCCGTTACGCAACATGATGCCTTCCCCAAAGAGTACAAAAAATGTAAGGGAAGACTATATTTACTCCTGCAAATCCTTACCCCACCCAATTAGTAATAGCAGAAAGGTGTGAAGCTGAAGGAACAATGTATTTAAGATTGTGAGTCTTCAAAAGAGAAAAGAAAAAAATGAATGAGCACACTGAATAAGTTAAGGACAGAGTCAAATGAGAGGAAAGAAGTTTCAGAACAACAAAATAAAATGTTGGTATCTTTTAAACTGCTTAAAAGCAGTGAGTGTGGCTCGATCCACAAGCCTAACATAAGCTTCATTTTAAGTCCACTGCATATTTGAGAGAGTTCCCAGTTGATGCTACTGCTAGTAAGGTGCATTGTATTCCTGGTACGTGGTGCTTTGCCTAAAAATGGAAAGCAGAAAAATACAATCCACAGCTCTGACAGTCTCCAAGCTCTTGCTGAACAACAGCCTGCACACCATTATGTAGCTTTCTCTGTGTCAGTCTGTACTTCAGCTTGTTAACTTGCTGTGCCATAAGCAACATCAAATAGTCTCTTAGGCAACATACTGCCCATAAGCAATGGGCTGGGGTGTGCTCATCTCCTGGGTACGTCTGCACTGCCCAGCGTGGTGAAGTACAGGGAAATCCTGAGCTGCCTCTATTCAGGAAGGGTACAGCTGGGTTAGCTGGTGTTCTGCTTTTATGGTTGCAGGGTTACTCAGCGACCCACTTAGTGAAACCACAAAACAGAACACAGCAGCACTTCGGTATACCACAATAATTATTTGCCCTTAAAGAGTACCCTCCTCCTCTGTGCCTTTAAACTGAGTTGAACACATTTGTAAAAAAATAAATACAGCTGTGAGACTGCAACTGTCCTTGCTTGTTGCAGTCTAGGAAGTTGTGGTAACTTACCAAACTTATAATTTACATGGAGTAACTTACTTCTCCCAGTTCCCAGCCTTAACTTTATTCCTACTGACAACAGAATTAAAAACTTAAAAACAAGACTCTGCACCTGCTCTGCTTCCTAGAGGATCAGCAGTATTAGTTCATGTGGGAAACATGGCGAGAAAGAGAATTCTTTGTATGGGCAACAAAATTTTAAACAATGTACATTCCCTCAATTATCTTCATCTTGTTAAAATATGTCCAGGCTACAGAAAGCCACATTCATTTCCTTGAGTACTGACTGCCTTTTTAGAATAAACTTTGTTTAATGAAAAACCTAATTAGTCTGCTTGCCTTTTTTCCCTCCTAGCTATTCCACCATGGGACTTACACTGTGGCCTCTCCTACTTTTCCTTGATACCAGCAATTGAACTCCTCTGGACTTCACCCAGTTCAGGCCCTGAGTGAAGACAGTAATGCCTCAAATGCACAGCTGATCAGTACTTTCTGCAGCTGAAACCAATACAGATCTTCAGATGAAACTGAAGGGAATCATGTAGTTGAAGTCACTCAGATGGTACTGCGGACCTGTAACTGTCAGTGGTCAGGGAGTAAAGCAGGGAATCTGCATTGCAACTAATTTCAGGGGATTTAAAGCCCACCACTTGAACTCCTTTCTCTCTACTGCCGCCTTCTTGTGCTAATTGCCTTTCACTGCTGACATCCCATAAGCATCACTGGCTAAGTGCTCTGCAAATGTATTTTTTTCATTGTTTATTTTTTGTTTTGTTGTTTTAATTTACTGTTTTTATTTACCTTTTAGTTCAAAGCCAGTACAACCATAAATATTTGTTCCTATTGTATGCTGGTAACAGGAATGTTCATAGAATGCTTCCTTAACCTGAGGGCATTAAAGTGAATGTAACCTACCATTAAAATCACTGTTTTTAAGTAACCCAATCATTTCTCATCATTAATAAGGCGAGAAGCTGTATCAAACAACTGGCTTCAGTAAGTCACTCATTTTTCCTCCTGATTGATGCAAAATCTGTACCTATCCTAAGGATATAAAGCTTTCCCTAAGTATTTGCAAATCTTCCATTAAAGCTTGGAGAGCTCTGAAAGTTACATTAACGATGTTCACAAATCTTTCCCCCCTTTAATAGTATAATTACTTGATTGGTTTGATAATAAATCAAAATCCAAGTGAAGAAAGATTCATGTGCTTCATATAAAATGAATCACAGGGAAAACATTTCACAATTAGCAGGCGCTCTTGCCTTACCTGCCATAACTTCAGACACATGGGCATGCCCAGCTTGGCACCCATCTCTGGCTTCAAGGTACAGACTGACGTCTTGGATGGCAGCTCCAAAACCTGAACCTGACATCAGGAAAACAAGAGTATTTGGTCATGCTCCAGGTCGAAATTCTGCTGCTAAAAACACAAGTCTTTTAAGGTGATTAAGGCCAGTGTAAGTACTCCCAGTAAAAAGCTGTCTGGAGGAAACTGGGGAATACATGTTAAATTGAAGCTGTAGGGGAATCTACAGTCTTACTAAAGACCAGACAGAAGTGCTAGAAGGTAACTTCATCTTCTTCCACTGTTCTACTATCTCTTCTGACTTCTTTCCTTAGAGTAGGTGATGTGCATTACTACAGGTAAGAATGCAGACAGCTTAGTCTGAAAACACTTTCCTGCATCTTTCCCATATCTCCATCTTTGTAGCGAAGTTTTTTGTTATGTTCAGTTATGGACGCTTGTATTGTCTTCTGTTCTGGCAAGGTAATAAGGAGCTTGTGTGGATACACAGCCACTGCATCTATCTATCTGAAGTGGATTTTTATTCACTGGTTGACTGCACTAGCAGAACTTAACACCCCAAATCATCGGCTCAGAGCAGGCTGGAGCACCGACAGCATACCGGTATTTCTACCACAGTGCTGTCTGACCCTGCTTTGAACAGGGTCAGGTAATACTGTGCTTAACACCTGCTCTCTGTGTAGCAGCCCCTACTTTTGCTTGCGCTGAAGGCAATGAATTATGGGCCTGCCTTTAAAAAAGAGGGGCAAAAGTCTTTCTTCTGCCAGAGAAGTAGCTCATTTCCACTGCAGGATGATGGCAGCCAAGATCAGGGAGTCTGCCTTTGCAGTTTGGCACTGGAAGGTTTTTAGTCTCTTGCCTGATACAGAAATGCTTACTTGGGGCTGACTCTTGAGCTTGGAACTATAGAGAAAGACTTTATGTTCCTGGAAGCAAGTTTTTGACACTTTAAAAAAAAAATATTGCTCTTTCTCAGACACATACTTAATCATTGAGGTGATCTTTTATTTTAATTAAATAAGCAACAGCCTACATTATCTCATAAAAGTAAAGGACTTCAAATATTTGATAAATCCAGCATCACCAGCCACTCTGGATTATTTCAGAATGTGCGAAGGCCCAATAGTGCTGTTGGACAGCCCAAGACATGTGAATTTCCTTAAGCATCTGAGATGAGGTATTAAACAAATATGGCTCCTCTGGGAACCATCAATCAAAACTGCAGCAGCTGCAATGGCTTTCCAATCCCATACCTTTAGTTCAAAGCTTGCCAGAACATCTTCCTATTTCTAGAGATTGTCAACCAGCCTGCCAAAAGCCAGCTGCACTCTAGGACTGCAAGTCAATGATGTACTAAACACAATGTACAGAGATTTTCTAAAGCCAGTTAGCAACGGAGCGGGAAACTGTTCTCCAGATTTGACAGATGGAGGCTATAGCAGAGCCATGCAGTGTACAGAGCAGAGTTTGAGCATCTGGGAATTCTGCTTTGGAGCGATGCTGTTAACAAAAGATTCTTTTCTCTTGGCAACTTTCTTGCCATCAGTATAATGACCAAGTTAGCTATTGGAGGAAACCAGCTGTAAATATGAAGGTGACCCACTCTCATCTTGCGCCTTTCATCACTGGCTCCCCAGAGGGCATTGTCTTCCAGACTGCGAGAAAACCAGGACTGTAACTTTTAGTTAACAAGGAAAGATAAATGCACTGGGATAAATGCATCTCTGCAGGTTAAAAATAATTCTTAAGAAGCCACTCCTTTATTTTATCTTGATTCAAAAGGAAAGACCTCGTACAAGGGCTATGGCTGAGCTTGCAAAGGACAAAGGAAAGCAGAGAAGAGGATTTTTTCCTGCAGAAGGCAATCAGGCACGAGCTGCCTGTGCTAGACTGACAGTTCCAGAGATTGCCTCCATTAGACAACTGAGCCTTAGAAATAAATACTATTTCATATATTTTGACATCTGTAACCTAAAACTTGAAGTTCTGTGTTTATATTGGTTTTGCTTAATAGGAGAAAGATTTTCCTTCGCCTGAGGTTAATAGTGTTCCTGGGTGGCTAAAACTGGCCACAAGGAAACACGCCCTTTTTCTTTTCCACATTAATAAAGCTTTTAACATGTTTCTGGCAAACTGGCAAGAAAAGTGCATGTAACTCATAATTGGTGATTTAAATGCAATCATGAACAAATAAATGCCTGTTCAGATCTCATTATTTATGGACTGAACCTGCTTTAAGACAAAATTACTCTTCTTTGGGCACCAGCCAAGCATAAACACTTATTAAGTCTTAATTTTAATCATAAGCTGCAAATGTACTGTGCCTCACAGTGCTGCCTATTTGGAAACACTGTATATTATGGGAGCGTATGCATGTGCATTTATTGAAAACTGACATAGTTCCAGTGTCAAGTTCACACACAGAGAGGAACTCTTACCTCAGGAGACAGCAAATCATTACCAGCTTGCAAAGCCCAAGCAAACAAATGAAAGTAAACCAGAGATGAATTGCAAGAGACGTTGGGGTGAAACAGCTCCTTCCTGGATGACTATTTAATTCTTTGTGAACAGAACGTGTGTGTACACTTTGCTGAAACAAGGTCTTCTCCACCTGATCCAGGACAGCACTTTTCAGGTTTAAGTCAAATATTGTTGAACACTTCAGTAAAATGGAAGTAGTTCTGTTTGATCAGAACAATAGATGTGCCTGAGAATGGTTTTATCTGCTGGTACGGTGGCTGCTTCTACAGACTTACTCACTTCTGTAAAATGCTGAATATTCTGGCTGTGGGCCAGCAAAGTACTTACATATATCCTCAGCTTCTGAGTAATAAAGAGCCCACATTTTCTCGCAATACAGGCACCATTCCCACATATTATTTAGTTTATAGAAAATGTAACTTTCAGTTTCAAGATATGCATCCTACATCCAGGTAAGCTCGTGATCTTCTATGCTTATGAACAACTTGCAGTTTAGCCACAATATTGCTTTTATTTTCTCATATCACCTCTTTTTTTTTCATACTTTGGTATTTAAATGTCAAGCATGTGAATCAATTTAATTTTGTATCATGTCCTCAAGCAGTCTTTCAAAGAAAACAAAAATAATTTATACAAAACAGACGTGGAAAATGCCAACAAAGCTGTCAGTCAGTGACTGCTGTGGTAATGGGTATGAAATGTGGGTGTATACAGTAGGAACTGAAACGAACCCTACAATTATTTCAAACAGAGCAAACCTCTTGCTGCTAATAGTAATTCCACTATCTCCAGCCAAAGTACCAGTTAAAGAATTAGCCCGAGGTGAAAGACCACGTATCGCATTACAAATCACCTGCACCTCCCCTCCTCTCACCATGCACAACTTCCAGCCAGAGACAGCAGATGAGTGCAGCCATCTGATGACAGACTTCTGACTGTTAGCTCCCCAGAAGGACTCTACTCTCTTCCCCTTTTAACAGTATTCAGCAGCGGCACCGCAGGAGCTTTCAAATCTCCTGCACATGAAAGACCATCAGCAGCTGCAAATACTTAAATGTTACAAAAACTTGGGGTGGTATCCTTGTTATTAGAGCACAAGTTATATAACTCAGTCACTTTGCTGGCAGGTAATGGTGATCAGGAGCCCCAGAGGTTCCTTGCGCTGCCCCCTCTTGAGCAGCGGATTTGAAAGCACTGATGTTTCTCCTTCCAAACTTTCTTATTTAAGAAACAAAAGCAACGTTCCAAGCACTGGAAAAAGAAGCGTTTCCTACCTCCTCCAGGGCCTTGGCTGCCATGGCCATCAGCCAGCGTCCCTGTGCCACCTTCAACAGAGAGCTTCTGCAGAACCCCACGTTCTCCGTGAAGACAGAATCCGTCACTGAAGTCCGTCCCTCTGCTAAATCCCACAGGCAGATCCTCTGGTCACGACCTTGACTTTTACAATAAAGCAAGTTGTTCTGTGAGCAGCAGGACTGAGGAAACCTGCCTTCCTGTAGTTTAGTATCTCAGAGTTGGACTTTAATACGTGATAAGGACTGAGCTTAGTAAAGCTTCAAAAGCTACCAGAAGAGAGGACCTGAGAGTCAGACACACCACCCTCACTGTCAGCCACGCTTTCTTACCAAGAGAGCCTCCATCAAACACAGTTATACTATTTATGTGCGCAACTATTTATGATTTTTTAGGAGTATTTAAAAATTTTCATGACAAGAATACGAGACATTATCATATTTAACACTTTCACCGTAACAGTGAAACAAAATGATCAGGTTTGGTGACACCTGAAAGACAAAGAGCAAGACAGAAGGGCCACAAAGGTAAAGGAATGAGTTACTCAGTGGCCAGCCTCCCACAGCCACATGCAGAAGCAGACTCGTACACCTCGTCCCAGGGAAAGCCGTGTGGTCAGCAAGGCCAAGAAGGCCAGTCAGACCGCACAGCATTGGTTGCCATGTATTTACCCAACTCCAGTTGCTCTGGAACAAAACGCTGCTGTGGAGAAGCAGCAGTTTTGGAGTTAAACTACAGCAGCACAGGATACCCATCCTGTTCCTGCCTGGGAGAAGGGGTCATCAGAAATTCCTCATCCATTTCTTATTTGAATTAGCAGTATCGCTTGACAGAACCATGTAAACAAAACAGAGGTAGATGCAAATCTGACTGATTTAGGGCTTCTTCAACATCAGTACAGAAACTCCCATCTGCTGTTCAGCTGAATGACAAACTATGAAAACACAGCGCTAGGAAAACAAAAATGTGGTGGGACTGCAAGAAACTGCTGGGATTTAGAGCAAAACAGCAAAAAATACAGGTAAGCAGCGCCCTAAAATTGTACTGCAGTATGAACTGTTATACACCAAAAATAGAGGTAATGAAAAGCTCTATAATAATACAAACAATACTCATTCAGTAGGATTTTATGGGGGAGAGTGTTGATAATTGTACTTAAGTAGATAACAAATATAAATGCTAATGAGTTCCACTGTGTATTATAAGAGATGTCTTCTCTAGATAAACATGTCAGAACACCTCCTAGTCATACAGACACTTTGGCATCCACTCTGCTCAGATCACCTGTCTAATCCAAGGTACACAAATCTTCCCAACCTTCCCTTCCTAAATGAGAACACGGGGTTTTGCAACATGGGCGTGCAGCTCAGCATTCCTGCTCATTTTGCACCATTCTCCCATCTCCGGTTCTTCTCTGTCCCTTTTCTCCTTCTCCTCACAATTTGTACCAGATTTGATCTTCCCTGAAAAACAGTTGTGAAGCACCTAACTTCAAATCCATTTCCTTCAAGCAGAAACTTCACCTGATGTCAGCGCAGTAATAAGGACACTATGAAATACAATGAAAAATGGTACAGTCAATTTCTTTATGATACACATGTAGTCACACTGCAATGCAGCCTCATGTGAATCATGAAGAAATTAACTGATCATAGTAATTCTGGGTATTTGTACTTCTGCACATTTTCTGTATGTGTTGGAGAGGCTATCAGTGACTCCAGAAATAAAATATTCTCGCTCTTTATGTTTTTTTGTTGCTGGTTTTTTTTTTTTTTTTTTTTTTTTTTTTTTTTTAAACTCGGGTACCTAACAGGAACAAAAATAATTTTCACTTCTTTTTGCCTGCCTCACTCACCTCAGGAGCCTGTCTTTACCATCCATTGTTTCCAACCAGTAGACAGATTTTCTTCCATGGCCATCCAAGGCTGCGTCCACTCTGTGAGTTTTCAGGTTCCAGACATGGATAAACCCATTCTCAGACCTGGCAGCAATAACAGATGCTGATAAGACAGTCCAATATTTCCTCCCTTTTTTTTCCCCCCAAATGGAAGTTACACATACAAAGACAACAGACCCATCATTCACCAGCCACGCATTTTGTTCTTTATCTAAATAATATCCCTTATTTTAAAAGGAAATGTCTGTACAACGCTCAGCTTAGCCAGAAATCCAGATTTACTTACCCAGAGAAGAGAACGGGGACGGCAGGCTCTTCACCTCCGCAGGAAAAACGCAGCGCATGGACAGCAGCACTGGTACCTCTGAGCACAAAGCGTGGGTCTGGGGGTGGCTGAGCCATCCAAGCAACTGGGAGAGCAAAACAACACGGGTACCATGGAGGGCAAGGCAGCCTGCAGGGAAGTTACAACTGTAAATATTTTTGGATCAAGACATTAGCTTTTCTTAGAAGCTAATCTAATGTTGGTAATTGGTAACGTACAATCCTTTGCAAGTAATTCCTCTTAGCTTTGAGTGATTGAGCATCCACCCAATCTGCATGCTGACATTAGGTGATGGTTTCCTTCTAAGCTCAGTGGTTGCCGAGTTGGCCATGTGCATCCATATCTCTGTAAGTACAGAATTGTTCAGCTGTTCTCCCTGCTGCAAAAAGGAACACATACTAAATGCAAGAAGCTGGATGCAATGATTTATCGTTCCACTTATCCTCCTGGAAAGTCTTCCCCTTTCTTCACCATCAAGTGCTCTGTTTGTGCTTTCTAACCACAACCATTTACAGAAAAGCACTGCAGTGTGTACGTCAAGTGAAAATAATTTCAGATGAGATGATCATTTTTATACAAGGCTGCCATCACTCCCCGGTGCTTCAGCTTCTGGTTCCAAGCACATTGCTTGAAAAAAGAAACACATTATTTCACACTACCTAGACTTGAGTTAAACATTTCATTCCAAGGTGTTGGAATGGTGAGCTCCAGCTCTGAACACCTGTCAGGAACATGCTTCACCTGTGCTCGAATCCTGAATTTTGTCACAGCTCACCTTGGCACAGCAGTGTGCTGTCACCCTCAAAACAACACTGTGGAGCCACAGAAATAACAGCTGGACGGCTTGTCAGAGGAGCTGGTCCTTCTGCAGGGAGGAACAACACTGAATCCATGCACTGAGCAGGGAAGTCAAAGCAGGCTGGGATTACTGGGCAGGTTGTTTTTAATAGCATTTTTCCAATTACTGACACAGAAGTTTTGCTGACAGACCACAACTGTGTGCCTGCCTATGGGAAGGGCTTTATCTGGCATCAGGCAGACACTGCAAGTGCATGTCTTTACAAGGGCAGTGCCTCAGAAAAATCTTCAGACTGGCTACAGCAAAACAAAAACCAAAACAACCTCCATTGTAAAAACAAAAGTTCCATTTATAAGCAAATGAAGCAACTTTTTGCTCTTGGAGCCGGGTTCTTTGCTCGGTTGTTTTGTTTCTGTTTGGTTTGGTGTTGTGTATTTTTTTGCAATTCAGGTATGTGAATTTTGAAATGGGGCTTAATATTAAGCCCATATTGTTTTTTTATTGAGCATAGAAATGGACTTCTTATTACTTCCTATCACGAGTCAACAAATGGACAGCAGTATGACAGTCTTAAGCATCTCATTTACCTTTCTGCAAGTGCTGAACTATAAAAACGCATCTGTGCTGCCTTCTATATCCATGAGCCTGGACAAATCACTAAGAACTTTTGATAAATTCTTGCTCTCAGGTACGTAAGCCAGCAAAAAGCCCCACGAGAACTTAAATGGATCGACGTTTTGTGATGCCTTATAAACCCCCAGGAAGCACCCACCAGCTCCTGCACACGGGAGCATCCTCTAAGATACCACCGCGCACACAGCACCGAGGGGCTCAGCACCCCCCGCTCCCCTACACAGACAATAAAACACAGCGGTGTGCTGATGCTGCCAGACAGCAGTTCTGCATTGCTGCTCTTCAACACACAGCGACAGCCATGCTGAACATGAGGCTTGTGTGATCTTAACACCCTTGGGTACCTTTTCCAGAAGCCCCCACGTGAAGCACAAGTATAAGGCTCACACCCATGAACGTGCAGTCCAAAATCTCTAGGACCTCTTAAAGTTTCACCCCAGGTGTCAGAAAATGAGTTCCCTAATTAGCACAACATTTATTTTATCGTTAACTCCATTTAGCCTCAGGGAGACCAATCCGCTCTCGTTAACTGGGGATATCTGCAGCAAATTTAATTAAATTATTTGCTTAGCATTTTGGCTGGTCTGAAATCGAACTCTGGCTCAGGGGCCTGAAGAAGCAAGCTGCCTAAGTTCATAAGAAAGCTTTCTTGTCTTATTTTTTCCCCCCTTTAACCTCTGGCCTTCCCTGTGCATCTCTTGGATTCTGAGCTTCACCTCAGCACAGCACAAACCACAAGGTGTGCTGCAAACCCCTGAGCTCCTGATTAAACCCCTGTGTGAGCAGCAAGGGGAAAACTCAGCTGCTCACATCAGTGTTTCAATTAGCAGAGGGCTACAACAGCACAGCACACGTTAGGTACAAAAAGGGTTCTTCTGTCCAGCAAAACGTGCTTCTGCTGAGTGCCACAACAACTGAGTTTCCTCCAAAGTTTCATTATTTTAAAGAACAATTCACTATTAATCTCCTACACAGAGCTGATTCTCCATGGGCTGCAGAACACTCTTTGAGCCATTTGAGTTCTGTGCAGTTGTATCCCAGTATCATCACTTCCACATTTTATACATATATATTAAAAAAAGCTAAGCTTTTATTTTATGAGAGTCATTTAAAATATGTAAATGTCAAAAGGATTACCTTAGAAAAATCTCTCGGAGAATTAAAAACATTAACAGATTCCCACAGGAAAAATTCCAGCAGAATTCAGCAACTCTCCTGTTCCCACTCCTGTCACTTGTATTTCTATCACACATGGAAGCAAAAACAAATTGCTATTAAAATATCATCCAAACACTCCCCCCCCTACAACTCCACAGTTCTGCTTGCGATACCAACGGCTCCAACAAAGACCTGGAAAAGGTGCTCTGCTCCTTAGGCTGGCTCAGGGCAGCAGCTCCACTATCAGAGCACTTTTCAGGTACAGGTGAAATAAATCTCTCTAAGCACGTCTGGCAAACTGATTGGGGACTGAAACCAGCAGGTGTGCAGACATAATTACTACTGCAAAAATTCAGCACATCCAGGTGTGCTCACCATTAGCTACAAGAAATCCCTGGTTTTTTGTTTTTTTTAATTCCTAGCCTGCCAGATGCCACCCCGCCACAGGAAAACCAGCACACCATGAGCTGAGAAAGACGTGAATACATCGATCCTCCCCCTTCTTCCACGGCTCCTTTTGCATTCACACGAAGCCTCGTCTCAGCCCGCGCTGCTGCACAAACCCGCCCTCGCCGTTCGGTGCCGCGACTCGGGGCGCGAGCTGCATGGTCACAGCTCAGCTCACACACGTGAGAGGTTGTGTTTTACTGACAGCAAAAGGCCTGAGAGCCGGGCTGTGCTTCGGCACACAAACGCTGTTAGATGCGTTGCGGCAATTTTTAAGCCCTGTTTTTTGTTCTGCATATACCAATGAAAAATAGACAATACAGTGAGACGGCTAAGTCAGCAATAAAGGGATAACATGAGGCAATCTGATAAAGAAATCTGCACCTGGGCACCAAGAAAAGCCTTTCTGCATTCAGCATCAAGTCAGCACATATAGAACGCTGAGGGAAGAACGAAGAGGGACTGAGATCTAAAGCCCAAATTAAAAGCTGGGCAGCCTGATTTTAGCATTCTTACTCCAGAGCCCTGAAAGACAGAGTCTGTGTGCAGCCACAGAAACGTGCACTGCTGAAAGCAGATCCAGAAGGAAAGGCTGCACAGCAACTGCCTGCACGGCTGGGAGTGTGGGAGCACTGCACAGTGCTGAGTGCACTCAAAACTCACCCACCAACCAACACCACTGCGACACTCTTTCAGTTCAAAGCTCCAGTTACAGTCTTTGGTGCTAAATGCAGATATGAACCTGTCCTGTACTCTTAGGATTTCTTTAACACTATTTTTAAAAATATGTATTTCAAATTTAAATTAGAAATGAGTAGAAAGCTTTGAATCAAGAAACTGATTTCAAGCAGAAGTTCGATGTCTGATTTAGCCAGCAAAACGTATGAATAAAGCAGTCAATTTTCAGACGTAAGGATAACCAATGCATTCTATTCAAACTAGTTATTTCCCATATTACCAATGATAACCAAAGTACAAATTAAGCACAGCGAGGTATGTTTGTATTTTATATTTGCCCTTGAAACTTATCCTCCCCTTCCCCCTCTCTCCCCCCCAAAAAAAAAACCAAACAAAAACAACTGCAGCAATCCCAGGACGGGCCGGGAAGCACAGAGCAGTGAGCACTGAGGTGCAGAGTCCAGGCGGATTTCCAGATGGAAGGCTGCTGCTCAAGAAACTTGCTAGAGACACCTCAGCGTCAAAGCGAGCGCACTGGTTTGCACTGCCTGGCCATGCAGCCTCGTAGTGCCTGACAGCCGCTCCCCCAGCTCACACTTACACAACCAGTGGTGGAAGTTTCCACGTTTTAATTGTGACAGCCAACCGCGGATCGGCAGCAAACAGAACTGCGGATCAGCAGCTGGCGTGACGCCGAGCAATCTTACGGGAGCAGGAAGAAAAGCCCCGTAAGCATCGTGCAGCACAACGCACCGCGATGGGCTTCACCCAGGGAACGGCTGCTGGCGGCGTTAGCTCCTCACTGAGCACCGTCCCGCAGCAGGAATAAATACTGCGGCACAGCGCGTTGTGTTCCTGAGCAATGAAGTTGGCACGGAGGTTGCACACAAGTGACAGCGCACTGCCTTCAGAACGCCGAGCCCTGCGGCCCTGCCTGGAGGCTCACCTTCAAGTTCTTCTATCTGCAGTTTTTAAAGTCACCGTATAATTATTATTTTCCATATGAAAACAGAGTCAGCACGGGAAGAAAAGGAAGAAGGACGGTAATTATCTGCAAGACACTGAGTTAGCATATGGATCTCATTGCCACTTACACACTTTGGTCATCGAAACAAAGCTATTAATCAATATGTAAAAGCCATAAATTAACATAAACATTAATCATTCTAATACTCCCACTGTGTCAGACTGATAATTTTTTTCAGCCTTTCATTCTGACACATTTGCCTTCAGCCATCAGCTGCCTGGCCTCTTCCAGCACCATTACACCTCTGGGGCACTGAAGGCAGCATTTTGAAGGCAGCCAAGGATCACAGTTACATTCACACTAAATATACGGAGGCTGAAATCAGAAGGCCCCTCTCTCACGATATCAGCACGCTGGCTTTTAGTAAGAACAGCCTGAAGTACAGCGTGGAAATACAGCTGAGATGGATGAAGTTCTGCTGTTTCATCAACAGCTTCAGATGAGGAAAGACACCCTAGGATTTACTCTGGGATCCACCCGCTCGGCACAGCGAGGTGATGTAGGCACAAAGCACAGCAGTCGTTCTCTGCGACACACCCAACATAAAGGGAGCACAGAAAAAAAAAAAGAAAAATAAAAGAAAACGACAAGGCCAGATCTCCTAGAAAATCCGGAGAGTGGGAAAATGCAGAACGTCAGTGGAAAGAAGAATGGACGCAGCTGCCCCACGGCAACACGCAGCGGATGAATTCCGGTCCGTGCGACGGACGCACCGCACCTGGGCGCGGCGCAGCGCAGCCCCGCACGGCCGCCCCCTGCAGCCAGCAGCACCGCCGCGCAACGGCGCCCTCGGACTGCAGGGGCTTCGCTGCGCCTCCAGGCATTTTAGCAGACATTTCCTGCAATAATCTTTGGTAACAAACTATTAAAAAGAACTGACAGAGAAGAAATGTATCAAGTCGTTACAGCAACTCGAGTTACTTGAGCCGGAATTGTGTGTCTGCAATTAAGGATTCTGTAACTCTGCCCAATTAAAGCATCGCTTTATTTGAAAACTAATTAATTCTAAACACATATTTTTCCCATGACAAACTTTTATGATTATTTAACTTATTCTGTTATAATTGCTTTAATTAATCTACTCTTGCATGATATGCTGCTGTTATTCTGGCACCTGACCAACGAAGACAAAAAATTGATTGCAGTTCCGTGGTGCAAGAGCAGAAGCTGTCACGGCAGTTTCAACACCGCTTTTATTTATTTGTCTGTTCTATTACTTTTCTTTTCCTCCCACAGGGCACAGGAAACACAATACACAGCGGATGACATTTTGTCTTCTATGCTTTTTTCTTCAAAGTGTGAAATATAACTGAAGAGTGTGGAGTTAAGGAAATGTACTCGTAATACGATCTTCTGTCATAAAAAACAACCTATCGGAAATTAACGGCCAGCTCTGAAAGGCAGCACACCGTGCCTTCCGACCGACCCCTGGTGCGCAGGACCAGGTCTGGAGCTGCCAGCAACGACACAGCAACGTGCTCAGAGAGTGGCGTCACAGCCATCGGACGGGAGGATGGGGCCAAAACTCATTTTTACACTTATCTTCAAATCACGTTCATTTTAATATTTCAGTCAGTTTTTTTAATCTTACAGCAGGTTACCTCACGTGCAACTGAACTCTTCTCACTCTGCAAGTAGCCCCACCACGTTAAAACAGAAATGTATTCAGACATTCAGCAGTGTGTTCTATTTTGCTTTGGCCACACCTGAAATAAAAATTCCTGCCACTTTCAGATCGAAGTCCTCAAGTTCCTTTGGACACGAATGCCCCGTCATGAACACGAATGCACCCAGCTGTGGGTGGGAGGAGGTTCCGAGCACAAAGACAAAAAAGGGGAACAACACCACCTATGCTATGTTTAAGTGTATGTCAAAGATTATAAAGAATTGTTATGCTATGAAATACCTCCCAAAATTCAGGCCTAATGAATAATTTGTCTATTAGGATTCCAAAAAAGTGTAAACAAATTTCATTTGGAGAAGCCAAATTGCTATTGGAGAGCAAATTAATCTAAGAAATCTAATGAGAATTAATGTATTACCAGTGCAAACAGGGCTGACATTTACAAGGCAAATATTACCTGAATAAAAAATAAAGAAGTTTGTTTTAACAGTTTAACCCAAGCTGCACTTGAGAGACAAACCCACAGCTGTTCTTTCAGGCCGGTTCCACCAAGTAAGGCTATGCCCATTTTGCAAGAGCATGCAGGATGTTTTCATTAAATCTGCTCTCATGTCCAAAGCTCTGAGCCTGATCACATACTAACCAGTTGTGTTAATGATATTAATTGATTAATTTTAATTAATTAATATTAATGAAAAGCAGGTGCCAAGCTGAACAGCAGCTGAGCAGTGACGATGCTCAGCTCCCAGTACTGTTTCCTGCATCTGTGACGTTCTGACCAACTTCAGCTGACCTGCTTTAAGGAATAATGCTAATTAACATCTAGCAAACGGACAGACATAAAGCCAGAGTTCCATGGTTTCCACACGTGACCTCAGACTTCACTCCTGTCACCTGCAATAAACTTCCCGGCCCGAAATGGAGTGAGATGCAGAGCTGTGTCACTGCCCCCATGGGGAGCTCAGAACAACTCTGCAGCACCTGAACTTGAACTCCCAGCCTGCGCCATCAGCCCCGCACACCGCGCTGCCAGGAGCCGAAGCGTCTTTCACCAGATCATCAGACTGTGTCATCTTCTGACCAACTTCATTAGCAGAACTTTTACCCGTCCTATTACCTCAAACCAGAAAAGCTAGATCGAAGTATAACCGACTTTACAGCACAATAAAACTGTTATAAATATTTAAACACTAATTAAAAGGCCTCTTCTGTAAAAAGCAAATAAATAATGAAAGCCATTTCTTCTGATGCTATTAAATGCAATCGTATTTATCTCGTGCTTCTGAGAAAAAACGGGGCTTAGGGAGG